AGCACCATTTCCGCGCTCGCCTGCATGTCGGCGATGCCCGTTTGCCGGATGTGCTGCTCTAACAGCTCCAACATCGTTTGGGTTCCATTTGGTACCCTATTAATTAGGTCATAGACAAAGCGCAAGCGCTTTGTGTCGCCTTCACGCAAAAGTTTCGGAAACTCATCCAGTATTTGGTCCTATGAATAAAAAAGAGAAATGTTCGAGAAATACAACCTCAGTTAAGAGATTCTTATACATATTTGGATTTTGAGTATCTTTTGAAATTAAAGTGATTTGTGCCGAAATAAAGAAATTCGTACTTGGTTCTCTTTGTTATAAAAAATACAAACAAGTGCAAAATCTCTAAAAATCTACCTTTTTCATGACAAGCCCGTAGGGCGGTTATCGGAGAGGATAGAATAGAATAGCCGTGACCAGAATCGGGCAAGGGCGTGCTATTCACGTAGGCATAAATGCATAAGCAGTAAGCTAAGATAGTGTTCCTCAAGAGCTTCCTACAAAAAACTAGGAGCTATAAAAATTAACACCATATTAATCTCATGGATTGTGGAGCTAGAATCGAAAATGAGATTAGGCGGTATAAGCAATATAATAATAAAATAGGGAAGTTGTAGCCACACCATTTGGGTAACGAATATTTGAGAGTATAAATTTGCCTAAGGAATAGCACCATGAAGCACAAGAAGACATTTATCAATATATTCGGGAGGTTAATTTTGTTTTCGTAAATGAATTCCAAGGTCCAAATGCGAGTAAGAATTTAAATCAGAATGAAGAGAATCTAATAATCATAGCATAACAGCTCTTTAAACAAATTCCGGACCATTAATCATAAAAAGATATCCTTGGTCTCTTCGATGCAGGAGACTCGGAGACTTATCTTTTAGAAGACAAGGCAAAAAAGCCATTGGACACAAAGGCACTGTTTAAGCTAGTAACTAATATCTGCTGCCGTTTAGTGCACGACCAGGACAGAGCTTGAGCTAGAAATAAGCGAAATTGTGTACCCTTGAGTAAAGTAATTTTTTGGTTGAAATTATCAGTGAATATAATCCTTTGAAATAAAGTTCGTAGCTTGACAGACAGGTTTTGTTCAAATGAAGCTAAATAATAGCAAGAATGATAATATTCGTATCATTTTAAATCACTCATAGGCATAAAATATAACTTCTACCTATAAAAAGTTAAGAATTTAAACAACAAGTGAGATCAATATTTAAGTTCCGGCGGAATAAAGACACTTTCCTGCACAAGAATCAATCAATTTCAAAGCCGAATCTTCGCTGTCACCGTAAGCATAATCGCTATGAATACAATAGAAGACAGATAAAAACTGGTGCCCCAGCAACCGCAAGAAAATTGGTCGAATAACACCAAGAATAAAATTTATTAAAAATAAATATTGTGGATCCTACCTCAACTTTATCGCATTTTGGCTTTTGGCACTCCATTGTCAGGTTGTTATCAAATGATTCGTTTTGGAAGTGCGTTTGCAATCGAGCTGTCATTAAATCTATATCGTAATGGCTTAATGGCAACTTTAAAGCAAAATAGATCTTGGTTCACTATTTCTAAACCCATGGCCTCATTTGTTTTGTCTCAGCTAGTTTATTTTCGCCTTGCCCTTATTACCGTAATTAATTTTTCGCATTAAGTATTGTTTAGTTTGGCAGAAGCTGGCACGGAGTCAGAAAAGTAAGGCAAGCACCACAATGTGCTTTTATTAATAGTGGGAATGTTGAGCGCAAAGTTGGCAGGAAAATCTAATCTCATGATTGTACATTATAGGTGCTAATGAATAAGTCCGAGGAACTTTGATTAAGATTAAAATGTTATGTTATTATTGTACCGTCCTTCATTTATTGGAAAGTGTATAAGATCATCCAATAAATCGATAGAAGAGCCCTCTATCCGATTGATTTGGCCTTAGTGGAAATTTCAGACAAAAGAAGTCCTTTAAATACCTTCCTTCGGTTCTGATAACGCTCAGCACATTTCTACTGGAACCGGAAGATGCCTCCATAATTCCGACATTGTGAATATCCAAGTAAATGCAGACTACAATATAACATGAGGATGAGCTGCGATCCTCTGATGAAATCGAATTATGAATCCCTTTACGGCGCATTTTCAAAAGAAATTTAGGTCAATAGTAATTCGAGGCATTCAACCAAACCCGTTTAATCTTATAATGTGGAATACTAGATTAGCATACAAGAAAAAATGCGGAAAAAAGTGGGTCCTAAATATGCAAGCAATAATTTCTGAGCTTACTTCCATTTTGAGTGAAAATGTTAAGTGAAGAGATTCGATTCCGCCAGAAGACGACGGCGGATTCCTCTTGATCAGCTGTCGATTGGCTTTACTGGAAGATTCTTGCTG